GTACTGCAGGGGGTGTCTCACCAGAGCAGAGCAGAGGGGGAGAACCCCCCCCAACCTGCTGGTCATGCTGCTTTGGATGCAGCCCAGGATACGGTTGGCTTTCTGGGCTGCAAACGGACATTGCTGGGTCATGTTGAGCTTCTCATCGACCAACACCCCACGTCCTTCTCCTCAGGGCTGCTCTCCATCCATTCTCTGCCCAGCCTGATTTGTGCTTGGGATTGCCCTGACCCAGCTGCAGGACCTTGCACTTGGCCTTGTTGAACTTCATGAGGTTCGTGTGGGCCCACCTCTGCAGCCTGTCCAGGTCCCTCTGGATGGCATCCCTGCCCTCCAGCGTGTCAACTGCACCACACAGCTTGGTGTTGTCAGCAAACTTGCTGAGGGTGCACTCAATCCCACTGTCTATGTCACTGACAAAGATGGTAAATGGCACCAGTCCCAATATCAACCCCTGAGGAATGTCACTCGTCACATATCTCCACTTGGACATTGAGCTGTTGATTAATCTAATGTAATAGCCTGTCTAAACAACCATAATGTATCTAAATAGCCATTGATCTAAGTACCTTTGCAATTTTGAGTCTATAGGAGCTGGTGAATAGAGCAGAGATGCAGGTCTGAAGACTTCTGACATATTTTCCTGGTTATTCAAGTGATGTGATACATCATTTTGTTAAACTACTTCGAAGTTTGGGAGAAGTCTGCAGGCAGTGGAAACCAGTCTTGAGTCTGTCTAAATCAGTTAAGCCATGTTTTTTCCTGTAATCAAAGAACTGGAGAAAATGAGCCAGAAGAGACCTGGAGAGGTTATCTTGTCCATCCAGGGCTAGGTCATTAAGCCCAAAGTGTTGCTGGCACACAGTCATCTAGCTTCTTATAACCTTATATTGGAAAGAGAGAAAGAGGAGAGAAATCCAGATATGGTAAAAGGGCTGTAAAAGTATGGCCAGTGTATGTGAATTCAAAATAAGACTCATTATTAAGAGACCAGTGTGGCTGAGCTGAAAATCACGAAGGAACTGTACCACAACATGAATGCAAATAAAAAAGAAGAGATCAGTTGAGTATAAACAGATTAATGTGCACAGTACTGCAGCAGGAAGCAGTGAGAATCAGAGGATTTTAAATGCAAAGGGAAAATGCAGATTGTCTTTCTGTGGATTTGGGAACCAGAAAAAATTAAATGGTGAACTGAAAGTCATAGAAAAATGTATTCATGGGATCTTCTGGCTATGCAAGGCATCTGGTAGCTGAATATTACATTTAAGCATGAATCATCCTGCAGATTCCCCACTTGCATAAAGGATAACTCAGAAAAGAGGAAATTTTGCAGAAAAGTCCTTGCTTTTGTGCTTACCAGTTGAAGTTGTTTAGCACATGATTTTCATAGAAATTCAGGAGGGCACTTCATCCATCTGCCTGCCCTGGTACAGGATCTGATATTTAGCCAGTCCCTAATATGTTCTTATATGACAGATGTCAGGGATTGCCTGAACCCTGCAGCCCCAGCCATGCTGTCTCCATTCCAGTGCTCACTTGTCCTTGCAGAAAGGGAATTTGCCCAAAAGCAGCTCCGAATCGTATTTGCTGAAGATAAAGTTGGTTATTTTTCTCATCTTATCCTTGATGAAAATGGAGAATAGTTGGCCTCTGTGGCTGCTTTTCCTGTCAATTGATAGGGGTAGCATTTGATAGTCTTCTTCCCTGAATTTCATCTTTTTCATTCCAGAGACGCAAAGTGGTTTCTCCTATTTAGCAACATCATTTTGAATTCACACTCTGTTCTCCCCCAGGCTTCTCCCTCTTGGTTTTGGACACAAACACAAGCAGCACACTGGCTGTGCTGATGTTCTGTTTGCTCATGGAAAAGCTGAAACCTGTGTGTTTCATGCCCTCCTAATCTGATGGAAAATCATTGATAGCTACTCTGAGAGGGATTTCCCAGTTGTTCACTATATGGGTATTGGGTATTTCATCTGGACCCTCTTTTCCTTGTGAGAGATTAGAGATACTACAGTTAGGATATATCACATCCATAGCTGCTCTAGCTGTTACACCACTTACCCTGTCGCCAAAGAATAAGAGTCTGATTTGAGAACATTTTTTCCAATCCAAAATGGCCCTTTTGTAATCCTTACTCTCCTTTTGGTGTTTAGAAGGCATTATCCAGTCAAGTATATGTCTGACTATGGATGAACGTGTCTGGGTTGTCCTAGTCTACCTTTTTAAAGGCAGTGGTGATGCTTGTCCTGCTTCTGCCGTTCACAGGGGAAGTGGTTCAATACTACATTCAGCACTTGAAGGTGAACGTCATCAAGCTCTAATGATTTGAGCGCGTTTGAGGTATCCAAATATTCTTTAAACAGTTTTTGTCTCATTTCACCCATGTTTCTACTGGTTCATTTTAATGGTGTTATGTATCTTGTTGCAATTTAGCTTTTTAAGTGAAGACAAACAAAAAGGACACAACTTTCTGGCTCCTCTGAATGAGCTTTTGTTTGCTCGTTTTCTAGTTTAAATAACAGACTTTCATTTTCCTTCCTCTTTCTCAAATATTGACAGCATTTCTAACACCTTTTCTTATTGCCTTTTGTGTCCCTTTGCTAGCTGTAATTCATTTTGTGCCTTAGCTTTGCAGCCTCTATCGCTCCATGCTTGATGTGTTTGTTTATACTTGTCTTCAGAAATGCCACCTTATTTCCATTTGTGATACAATTCCTTCCTGATTTTCAGCCCAGCCGCACAGGTCTCCTTCTATCAAGTCTTATTCTGAATTAATTTGTATCTGAGGACTTGCAAATTTATTCTCCTTAACTTGTTCTTGCTGTTTGCCATGAGTTACCATTTATTACCAGACATTTGTATTCCTTTTCTCCCTTTCTATCTGAGAAGACATTCTGGCAGATAATGGCCTAAACAGCTCTGCAGTCTATTTGACAAGTAGTATGTTAATCCCACTAACTGATATGGTTTTTCATACCAGTATTTAAAAAAAAAAAAAATTAAAAAAAAATCATTTAGCTTATGTGACTATAGGGCTGTATACACGCAGAGGAAATATAGCTGCAGGATGCTGAAAATATTAAGGCATCACATTGCAGCAGTGTGGGAGCCCTGCACAAGGGAGGGTGAAACCTTTTCTGTCTTCCTTTTGTATCAGTCTTTTAATAACTTTGCTGCTGTGTTTGCTCTGCTCACCTGTGCGTGGCAGAATACAGAGAGATACTTGGGGCAGTAAGAGATACCACCAGAGGGCTCAGAAATATTCCTGCTGCCTCTAGCACAAGGTCAGACTTGCAGGACACAAGAGTATGTGCTAATCAGGTGTGCAGGAGACAGGACCAACGTGCACAAGTCCAGTTCCTTGCACTGCCCTCAATGTTGGGTATGCTTTTGAGTCCCTCTTGCCCACAAAATGGACTTAACAAACACTAGCTCTGTGGAGGCTAGTTGTGGCACCTGAGAATTGACCCAGGTGAAAAGCAAGGTTGCATGGGTTTGCAAATCACTGGGAGGGCTGAAGATGAGGACCTGGTCTGTGGCAGTAAGGGGGAGGTGCCAAACTGTTGCTTTGCCACTGCTGTAGAAGAAAAAGGGAATAAGAAACAGGTAGACCTTCCTGGCCTCATCTGAAGGTTGGGATTCATGTTTAGCTGCCCAGTTAGCAGGAGTGAAACAGGATCCCTGGGGATTTTCAGAGGAAGCAATGCCGGAGCACATGAGGGAATGTGAAGAGTAATTGTGCTTCCTCTGTGCACTCTGTCACATCTGAGTCCCTTATCTAAGTGTTTTCCATGTCTTATTGGCACTAACTGAAGCCAGATCAAGGACCTGTGGTGTGAGTAAAGGCCTCTCTCCTGGTTTAACTGCGAACCTGGTTCCTGTGATACCCAAGTGCTAGCAGCACCTTGGTACTGGAGCTAGGGATGAGTTTATGGAGACTCCTTGTACCAACTGTGGATTCTGGGTGTGGTCTGTACTTTTGCTGATAAGAGAAGGGAGAAATATTTGGGAAAATTCTTTGAACCTTTGCCTTTTAAAGAAGCCAAATATAAGGGGAAGAAAAAACCCTGCACTGCACTTAGAATAATGGAGAGCCACAGCCGCTGAGGATGGTTTATGGGAAGATTGTGAATTTTGCTCTGTGATTGCAACTGGCATTGGAATAATACTCATGAAAAGCTCCTCTATTCCTGTGGGAAGGGCAAGAAAGGAGGACCAACAGAGTACCTGCAGGGACCTGAGCCCACATAGCTGCAGTTGGAATCTGGGGGCTCCCAGCACAGCATAGGATGCCTTTGCCACATAAGGAGCCCTGAGGTGGCCTTTTGGATAACAGGAAGTAGGGATGGGGTTTGAGGCTGCTCCTTGGTGCTGGCTGTGCCTTCCGGATTAAACTGTCCCATACGAGAAGGCAAAAACATTCCAGGGAATTGGTGCGGGAATGAACCCTGGGTCACTTCACTCCCACGACAGCAAAGAAATGATTTAACACAGTGCAGGCGTCCGTGACATCCAGTGTCTGAGGGTTTGGCCTGATAAGCATTTTAGTAGTTATGACACGGGATGAATGTGTGGCTTTTCAGTGGAATAAGATCCCTGCAGAATAAACCTGTTGTTACTGCATTGGGAGGGAGATGCAACCCCTGCTTCTGAATCCACAGGCTGTAGGTGTATCTGAGACCTGGGATTTTTATTCAGCTCACATCTGTTCAGCATACAGTGCTGGTGCTGGACTGGTGCTCGTATGATAGCTGGGGGCATGCCAAACAAAAGGGAGGTCTGTGCCACGAAGTGCTGACAGCCCCAACCTGTGAATGGTTTAGGCTGCATTCCCTGACTCTTCCTGAACTCTGGAGCTGTCTTTCCTGGTAGCATCTCCCTCTCATTTCTGCCCTGGCTGCACAAATATGCTCAATTAGGGTTAACTCAAACTGAATCAAACTTCATGCCTCAGGTTGGAAATCTTCCCAGTCAACTCACCACAGCCACATAGCATGGTGGGAGACAAGGCGAGAGGAGAGATGAACGCTTTTCAGAGAAACGAATCCAAGGAAACTTTGTTCACTTTTATTTCTGCAGGAGATGATCCTCCCAAAGGAGATTTCCCTGTTCAGAAAAAATCCCCGGTGAGTGTTACAGCTGGTTTCCTTTGCTTTACTTTCTGCTCAGCTTGCTCTGAACATTGCAAGATCTCTCTGTTCTTTCCTCTGTTGTGCTCTGGCTGGACACAAACACCCTTTCTTGCAGAGGGTTGAAATAAGCATTAACAACTCAAGGCAAAAATCCTTTCACTAACCTGATTAAGTTAAAGTGCAGCTTAAAGGGAAATAATGAACTGTCTGAATTTTGGGGAAAAGGGTAAGGGTTTTGATTGCTGCCTTTTTCCTGAACACTACTTTCCTTGTGGGAAAGGACTTACTTCTCTGAAGGTGAAGGGGATGTTGTGCATGGGAGGGAGGGACTCGACCTGTCCATTTGCTTGATTTGATGAAACCCACCAGGGAAGAGTCCTCGGATGCTGCAAAGCAGAAGGAAGGACAGGGACTAAGGACAGGCCACTGATGTGTGTTACAGAGCATAACTGTAGTCCCAGAGCCTCAGGTTTACATCTTTGGCTCTGATTTAGAGCCAGATTCAGGTGGATATTTTGTTGCCTTGCAGCTTTGATATTTGTGCAGGTTTTCAAGCTAATTCTGGTTGAGTGCTTCACCCTTAAAACTTGCACACTGTATCGACTTCGGGGAGAACAGGGCTTGTATTGCACCTGCTTTGACTCGCAGGACAATATGGTAATACTTGCTCTTAAAGCTCACAGTCATGTCATTAGCAAGCTGACTATTTAATTTGCAGTTTTAAGTACTGTGCAGACATTAACTATTGGATGTCCAGAGCTCCTGGGAAATATTAATCTTTGTCCCATTTTGCAGCCTGTCAGCAAGAAGGAGAGGTGAAAACAAATGTTTCCTGTAGCTGCCGCTTTAAGTGACCTTTCTTTTTTCCAAAGACACAGACTATCAACTTCCACAGTATCTTTAAGAGCTCCATAATCCCACAGATCCCAGTCTTACAGTGGTAGCTAAGCCCAGCAGAGTATCTGGGTGCTCATGAATCCAGGCTTAGCCTCTGCTGAGCAAGGTCCTCCGCCGTGAAAGCAAGCAAAGTGTGTCTGGCTGTCTGCATGGAGGAGAGCTGCCCACTTCTGGATGTCCAGGCAGGCCACAGGCAGGTCAGTGTTACAGCCCAGAGAATACATGAGGGTTTCTGCCTGTGCTGATGCCATCTCATGAAACACAAGCCAGACCCCTGCTTGTAAGTCGTTGCTCTGTGTCTGTAAGTGCTTACTCAGAGTCCTGGCTCAGGCACTTGGGGAGGTTTAGCTGGGAAGTCACTGCCTCCTGCTCTCCTTTCACTTCTTGCTCCTGCTCATCTGTAGGAGGTGCCCATCCCAGAGCAGAAGTGGCTGAAATAAGTCACTGACAGGTTTTCTGTCACTGCAGGTCGCAGCATGGCATGTGATACCTTAAACTGCTGCAGCTAAATCCAACAGGTCTTGTGCATCAGGTGTGGAGGGGTGAGTTCCAGCAGCAGGGTTCCCGACACCTGGCCATCTGGGTTTGAACAGTCATGCTCTGCATCTCCATCAAATGTTATTACATCTCATGAGTACTGATAGCGAGGTCTGTGAAAGAGAGGAAGAAAAATATCCCTGTTATACAATTTTACTTCCAAGTTCAGAAAATGTCTCCAAGTACCCACAGGAAACATAAGAAACATAATTTGCCTCTTATGCCTTTTCTTCTTTATTATGAAAAACTCATTGGAGAAAAGTATTCTGTGTGTGCATATGTCTGTGTTTGTGCATTTACAGCTTATGTATGCCACCATTTTTAGGCTAGTCTAAAAGCAGGAGGCCCCAGTGTGGTTTCCAAGGGAGCCCACTCTGTCTTACAAGCCATATGCTGAACATGATGGTTTTGGAGTAAATAATAAATGAAATGGATAATCACATATTTACTCTAGTAAAGCAAATAGGCTAAGGATTTCTTAATACAACGCAGCCCATAAATAGCAAGAGAAAAGTGTATATAAAAAAGGACAAAATATTTTTCTTTAGAGATGCTGGGTTAAGTAATGGAAAGCATTTTTTGGTTTGTGGTGTTTTGGGTTTTTTTTGCAGACAACTAGTCTCTTCTTTTTTGTTGCTTTTGTATAATGTTGAGCAAGACAGCATCATTAAGCTAGACTCTTCTAAACTTGATGCCATTGCTTTGGGAATCCAAATAAGCTCAGGTTTCTTGATGGTGAAATAAACCTGAATAAACACATCTATCTTGGTATCTGTATTTGCATTTGGTACTCTGGGCAGAAATACAGGAATTCATTATTTCCAACACAAGGCGTAGAAATGCATGTGAAGGGTTCATCTCACTTCACTGGCCCATACCATGGCTGTTTAAAACCATAAATATAAATGCAGCTGTTCATATCACACTCCCCCCCACCCCTCACGGAGGGCATGGCCAGCCCCGCTCTGCCGCTAATTGGCAGAGGACAGTCCTGTGAAAACCTGCTTTCCCTGTTGTGAGGCAGTGGAGCTAAGCAGCTGGAAGCTGCTTAGCTCGGACCCCAGTGGGGTAGCAAGAAGGACGGAGGCCCATGCAAGGTCATGCCAAGACTCATCTGTTCAAATGCCTTATACTTCACTTAGAAACTGCTGATTTAAAGCTGGAATAAAGTCAGATTCAGTGAAAGAGTGGCTGTGCTCACACAGGTTTGACAGTCCCATGACTGTTTTGTTTAGTTTTGATTAATAAATTGAATTATCCATAACTATGCCAGCGTTCTTGGAATACAAAATGGATGCCATGCCTGAGGGAGTGCAGGACACAGGGCTGATGCTCTACTTCAGTCAACATGGTGGCACAGTTTGGTGCAAGTGAGGCACAGAGATTGAGGGCTGTTGTTGAACGGGAGGGAGCAGCTTCATGTGGAAGCAGACAGAAGCTCCCTGGGGTCTACCAGCTGCTGAGGCAAGGTCTGGTACTAGGAGATGGAGCAGTTTTGGGGCAGGGTAGTAGCTTTATGTAAAGTGTAGAAGAAAAGGCATCCAAAGGTGTTTTTGCATCTCAGTGGGGTTTTGCATTGCAGCGGAGAGGTAGTAGGACCCTTCCACTGGAGTTCCTGGAACTACAAGCATAGTGGGCTGCTGATAGCCCATGAATCCCCATGGCAGTCTTTACTGGGCCCATATTGGCCAGGCTGATTCACTGAGGAGCCTTAACCAAAGCAAGATAGGTGTGGGGTCCCCTCTCTCCTTTGAGTCCAACCCCCAGGCCAGTTAAGCAGCAGTGGGTGCCTGGGTTTTGGACTGGACTCCTCTCCACTGCCCAGGCACTGTGGGGATATATTGCTGGGGTAAAGGCTTTCACAGAGCTGATACGCTCTTGTTTGTCTCTCACAGAAACTCTGTGGCTCCAACTACCCCCTAAGCATTGCCTTCATCGTGGTGAATGAGTTCTGTGAGCGCTTCTCCTACTATGGCATGAGAGGTATGTGACCTGTGTCTGGGAAGTGATTTTCCCATCCTTCGGTTTCTATACACACTGGCCTGATGTTCCAGGGCTGTGCTGTATGTGGTCTCAGCTGTCTTTCAAAGTAAATTGGCATTTTGGGTTGTAGGTATGAATATGAACAGTGTACACTAACATTCATGCTACACCTGCTCTGAGCAGAAGTTGGGACTAGAGAGCTCCAAATGTACTTTCCACTCTAAATTTTTATGAGATTCTCTGTATCAGACCTGTTTTTCCAGCATGTGACATCTTTCATAGTTGTATGCAATCAGTGTGTTTAGGAATTGAATCATACAGGCATCTAATTTACAAATAGAAAATGTGCGTAAACAGAACTACAGGTTATGGTAAGATAAGCTAGAAAATATATATTCCAGCTAAACATAAATGTTTATGAGCAAAGAGTGCCTGATAGTCATATGTCTCATTTTAGCTTTTCCTGTGTCAGAGATTATGAGGAACAGGTCTGAAAGCACAGATCTTTCCACAACAGTGCTCATAGCTGCTAGATAAATCAGTGGTTTTCTTGCCACCATGATCCTGCTTACCTGCAGAGATACACGTTAATTATCGGATGTGATTTGCTTGTTTCCTTTTAGCTGTCCTGACACTATATTTCTTAAGCTTCTTCCACTGGGATGAGAATCTCTCCACTGCTGTGTACCATGCCTTTTCCGCGCTGTGTTATTTCACGCCTGTCATTGGAGCCATCATGGCAGACTCGTGGCTGGGAAAATACAAGTAAGTGAAGACATCTTTCTAATTCAGGGAGCATATATCTACGCCATGCAGCTTGTGCAAGGGCAGTGCTGTGTATGCTCCTAGTTTTGAGCTAGCTCAGAGTGCAGCAGAGACACACTTGCTAAGGTCAGCTCCTCTCTGTTAACAGATGAACAGCTGATCTGTTTGCTCATGCTGTTCTGTGCTCCTCTTTCACCCAAAGGCCAATAGGCAACAAATTTGGAACAAATTAAATGTCACAAGCACACTTTTCCTCCACTGTCCTTCCCTACCCACCTTGAGGAAGCTGAGGTGTAGGGTGATTAACCCTCAGCTTGCCAAGGTCTGCTTCTGAGAAGGATTCAAAGACGGTGAGAAAGCAGCATCATCCTCTAGATCTCGCAGTTTCAGATGAAGTGTCAGTAACTATACTATACTCATGCTTTCACAGCATAGGGAATGTGTGGACACACCCATTTTTATGCCAGAGAAACCTGGGTTCACTCAAATCATCTCTCTCAGCACATAACCAGGTAAACTCTCCCTGAGAAAGTTAGGCATTCTTGCCTTCCACTGGCAAGTTGTGGGGCCATCATCTGCCCCAGAGTGGTGGTGAGCAGCTGGATAGAGGACTTTCTTTGCTTGTCACTGTTTGTTTGTTGTCTGAGAAGTCTTGGCTGTCAGAATGATGAAGTGAAGCTGAACTCTTCTAAGACTAAGCGCATCTGGCAGAAGAGTCTCAACAGGAAAAAAACAGCTGCTGTATGTCTGTCCTGCAGAAAGTTCTTCAGAAAATATCCATGTTCTTTTTTCTTTGTGCTCAATTTTAGTCATTCTCTTGTCCCTTTGAATGAAAAAAGTAACAGTGGGGGTTTATTAACTTCATTATTTAAGGTCACCTAGCAATGTTCATTGGTATTTGAGGATATCTATCTTGCAGCTTGATGTTGTGGGAAGGTAAATCCTTATGAAGACTTTTGTGCATTAGGCAAGAGACTTTCCCTGGAGTAATGCCTATGACTTAACTGGAGATGGCTTTTGCTGTAGTAGCTGTACCTCAGCCAATACTGAGGACAGGATAACAGATTAGAGGGGCTTTTAGGAATAATCTGATGTGGCTCTAAATTAGCTGTTGCAACCAGGGTTTGGATGCATCAGGGACCATCTTCCGTGCTCAAAGCTCGTAGGGCTTCTTCTAGTGCCTCTGTCCTAACAAGTCCTTCTATTCCCTCTATGTGTGCCATCTGCACATAAACACATAGACATCTCTTAATCCTGAAAGTGATGAAGGAATAGAATACACTTAAGAACCTGATAGTCCTAGTCAGATTTCTTCTTCTCCCTCAGCAAGACATGGGAGGCAGATAGATGACCTTAGTCCTTCAGAGGTACTCGGGATCTAAAACAGACTTGTAAGGGGGAAACCATGCTCCTAATTCAGATGTTAGTCAGGTGGGTTGAATGTGGCAACAGTCCCTATAGATGCCTTCCAGTCAAGGGATTCACTTAGGCGCATGCTGCAAAAAGCGTTATTAGTAATCTGGAAACCCAAATAGTACTCCTCTATTTGCAACCTTCCATGCATGACAAGACTGGAAGATTTTTAGTTTATTCTGATCAGCGACCTCTGCAAGGAAAGCAGGGGCTATCCATCCTTAATCTGAACCCATTTGTCTATCTGTTTCTTCTGGTGCACTCAGTGTTGACACAAAAGTTACAGCTGCCTGCTATACCAGTGGTATAAACAAACCAGTTCCTTGCGTGTCTGCCAAGTAGATCTGCTGTATCAGGAAGCACAGGCACACTCTCTTTTTGGGTTGTACATCACCTGGCACCTTCAGTCACTGCTGTTTGCTTTCCTCACAGGACCATCATCTACCTCTCCATTGTGTATGTCCTTGGCCATCTGATAAAGTCAGTCGGTGCAATTCCATCCCTAGGCAACCAGGCGGTTCATGTGTAAGTAGCTGTTGAAGCCGCAGTGCTGTAGGTTGTGACGATAGCTGGTTTACCCAGGACTGTAATTTGTTTCACCTCCATCAGGCCAGCAGTTTGGGGGCTTGGGTTGCTTTTATCAGGGAAGGATTTAGAATGTCTGAGTAAGCGCAGAAGGGCAGATCTAGAGTGTGAATGCACCAGAAGGAGCTGGAAACCACTACAGAGACTCTAAGCCCATTGACATAGGCACCTCTGATCACCCCTCTCTGCTAAACTGTGCTACTGCAGTTTGGTCTCCTCCATCCAACTATCTGCACCAGGCTTATTCCTCCATTGTTTCCTCATCAGCGTAACTGCCCAGCTCAGCTAGGTCCCCCTGTGTGCATGGGAACACAAAACTGAAGATACATTTTCTGATGTGAAAGAGGAAGGATCTATCTTTTCCATAGGGTACAACCCTTCTTGCCCTCTAGATTCTGAACTGATAGGCTTGTCAGAGTAGTTCCCCAGCTGGTATCTCTGAAACCACCAAGCTGTTTTTGCCCAGTGGTCAAGGCTCTAAAAATATGCATATGCAGGCAAGAGCACATCTCATTTACAGAACAGTTTCCTTTTGTCCCACACCTAGCCAGTCCTGATACTCCTGTTCCCTGCAGATATAATCTGTTGGGCCAACAATGGTGTTTTGAGGAGCACTGGGAAGTAGAAAGCACCCAAGAATGAGCCTAATTCAAACAGTTTTTCTGCATTTACCCAGGCTGGATGGCTACAGGAAAAGGCTTTCTTTTTTTTCTTTCATATTTTTTTATTTTTAGTTAATTGATCTCTGCAATCTTTTGTTCTCATATGAGTGAAAAATAATCCCACAGATCTTTGATCTCTAGTATGTCCATTGGGCCTCAGAACAGCAAGAAACTGACAAAACCAGTTTGGTTAATTGACTGGTGCGGAATGCAGAAATGAGGATAATTAATTTGGTTTTCGCACTTAGCTGGCTCATCATCACCACCCATGTGCAAAAGACAATGATACCAGAGGAATCATGGTTGGGTGACACTAAAATGCTATCATAAGCACTGGAAAGGTTCTGCAATGGTGATATTTTTGTTCTTGCATGAAGGATCCTGTCTATGGTTGGTCTGTTTTTGATCGCCCTTGGAACGGGAGGTATCAAGCCCTGTGTCTCTGCATTTGGTGGGGACCAGTTTGAAGAGGAACATGTAAGATCTCTTTTCTTTCCTAAAATATGCAGTGTCTGCTTACTTTCTGAGGATGTTTATGTGATCAAATCCTGTTGTACTAGAATAAGGGCCAGTTTGCTAGGAAAAGATGTAGTAAGATGTGAGGTAGGGTGATTTGCATAAGACTTGAGAGAATCTGGATGCTTTGGGAAAGGACAATGACAGCAGAACAGGACTGATATTGGTAAGGATAGGTCATAATTACATCAAATCATTTAAATGCTTATTGGATGTCAGAGTAGTTGGAAAATGCTGTATCATGGAACTGTAGCCATTTCTGAACCAGCTTAACAGGGGTGATTATAAAGCACCACACTAAAATACAGCAAATGAAAGAAAAAATTGTGCCACTAGCCTATGCTTCCTTGGGAATCTTCCCTCAAATCAGTCATACTCATAGTCTTAGATGCTGTTCAGAAAGAACTGTACGAAAACTGTAGGAAATTCCAGTCTTTTGAAAGTATCTACTCAGAATGTTTTCTAGATAATACAGAATGCGAACTTCTGAAAAGTTGGCAAAATTATTCTTTTGAGCTCTGTTTGTGCTTTGCATTCTGTGAATTGTAGTCCTGTTGCTTTGTGTCCTTGTTCTGTATCATGAGGGTTTAGCCCTTCACCTGCGCTAGTCTCAAACTCCCGTTATGCAGCACAGTGGCTCAAGCAGGGATAAGGTAATGCTTAAAGAAGTGAAGCAGGTCAGGAAGTACTAATCCTCAGGCAAAATGCTAGATTTTCAAATTGATCTGAAATTAAACACTTAGATTTATGTTGACCTAACACACAAATAAAAATTTCACTTTTCTCAATGACAGTATTCAAATCAGTAACTTCTGTGCGTGACATAAATCCTCAAATATGTAGAAGACCACTACTACAAGAAAAAATAAGTATTGGGGTCTGCGATGAGTAGGCTTAAACTCAAGGAGGATTATTTAGGACCAATAGTAGGAAAAATTTTCCAGAAATAGATCTAGAGAAGTACAGGAAAAGATTAGGACCTTTGGGAGATGGAAATTCCCATGAACGGAGGCATTGAAGAAGGACATTAGACTAATGGTCTGTCAGGAAAGGCACTGGTAGAGTTGGACAAGGGATGGGAGCCCTGTAGAGCGGTTTACTGTTTGTCTTTTGCAATGCCCCAGCACATAGTCCGCATTTAATGAATGAATAATATAGACTAGAATGTTTATTTTAAAATTTTGGCAAGACTTGTGCTTTCTGCACGTGAACTGTGTGATGCTGGAGTGATGAAGCTTATGGTTACTAAGGAGTGACAAAACATAGGATGTTTCATGGTCACTTGTTCAAAGCAGATCCTTCTGCAGGCATGCCCATCCTGTGCTGTTGGTTGGACCTAGTCCTTTAGAGGATGCTGCAGAAGTGGGAGCAGCAATCATCTGGTGGTCACCAGGCTCCCCAGCTGGCACAGCTCTGACCAAAAGCAGGCTGGCAGTGCAGCACACATGCTCTGGGAATACGCTGCGTGCATACTAGCATGTGCGCATCCCAGCTTGCAGCACCAATAGTTGTCTCAAAAGGATTCTAACAGGTGTTACAGCAGCATTTTCAGAAGTGCTACTTCTATGAATATTAATGATTAATAATGTTTATCCAGCATCTTTCAATTACCACCTAATTACAGTATGATAATATGTACCACTTATCTTCAGAGTGTTTTATAGACTTCAGCTAATGAATCTCAGCACCCCAGTCAGGCACATACATATTATTATCCCAAACTTACAACCACAACTGAGCTACAGAGAAAAACCTGAATTACCTGTGGTTGTGTGGGCCTGTACTCATTCTCCAGCATTCAGACTACACCTCTTCAACAGATTTATCAAATACTAAGGCTCAAACATTCACACGTGTGTTGTTTTCAAGAAAAACTAATTTAGAGAAAAAAAAAAAGTAAAAAGCCTTCTGATAAGGACAATGCGTTCTGCTCTATTCATTCTTTTTAGAATAGAAAGTTCTGTATTTTACCATTTTGAAATGACTTGGCCTTTCAGAAGAACAAAATATTTTATGCTATGTGATAGGAAATTTAAGTCTTCAAAATTGGAATGAGAAGTTTTGATTTTGTAAGGAATGAAAACTTTGAGGCCAACCAGAATATTTCTCCCCTCTGGAGTGGTGTTTGAAAAGATATTTTCTTGTCTTCCACTCCAGGTAGGATGAAATAAGTTTTAAAATTCCCTATGAAATGAAGCATTTGATTCCCCCTTAGTTTTCAGAACACCGATAAACTTGAGCTGAGCCCTTATGTGCACAGGCTTAGTTGTTCCATCTGAAAACTACGGGTGAGATAGTTCTGTATATAAAAATAATAAATAAGTCGCCCTTGCTATTCCCACGTAGAGACAAATTTATGTTTTGAGGTAAATGCACACCATTGGTCTGGTTTTCTTTTAAGTACTTTATGAGTGTAATAGTCTTGGATCTGCCACTTTGAGAACAGTACT